AGCATTTCAGGGGACCTTTAAAGGGGTCATATGATGTTGCTAAAAAGAACATTATTTTGTGTATTTTGGTGTAATGAAATGTGTTTATGCGGTTTAAGGTTAAAAAAACACATTATTTTCCACATACTGTACATTATTGTTTCTCCTCTATGCCCTGCCTTTCTGAAACGCGTCGATTTTTACAAAGCTCATAGGTCTGAAAAGCAGATTGCTGTGATTGGCCAGCTATCCAGGCGTTATGATTGGCCGAATAGCTCAAGCATGTGACGGAAATGTTACGCCCCTACCATACTGTGATGATGCCCTGTCCGGCCGGTGCGATGATTCAAAAACATGAAAACCCATTATAAAGAGGCATTCGTTGCATCCAGTGGGGACATAATTATGGATTATAATTACTTATACTGCCATTTTACGCGTTGCGTTGCATCGCACCACGCCGTGTAAACATAAAACCATGTCTGCATTTGTGAAATGACAAACAACAAACCCTACTCTACACTGCCCAAAAAACTTTCTTTAAATATCAAAAATATAAAAACTCTTTAAATATAAAAAAACGTACTTGCAATCGAACAGCCGGCATTGTAGTCTACTCTACCAGGATCAGGAAACGGTCCTCCATAAAATGTGCTGCACACATCTGAATATTTGGGTTGTAGTGTTCTGGAACAGTGTTGTAAATACAACTTAACCAATGATTTCTAGTCGTGTCCATTTTTGGAAGGCCAAACAAAGTAGTTTCACTTTCACAATGAAACAGCATCACATACGGTGGCCTAGAGTGAGTAGAGGCCGGGGGCTAGAGTGAGGAACGACCGGAGGGCTAGAGTGAGCAGAGGCAGCGGGCTTGAGAATGGCGTGGTTGGCGGATTCGACGAAGGAGCGTCTGGAGGGCTTGAGGCAACCACATGTGACGATCCCCGGGCTGGACTCCGCTTCGTCCACGGTGAAAGCTGATTCTGTGATCCACAGCGCAAAGTTGGTGTATTTCCTCAGCAACCAGCACGGATCAGCTCCAGGCATGACGAAGCAGATATCATCCTCTTTTGGAAGGCCAAACAAAGTAGTTTCGCTTTCACAATGAAACACACAGCACCTTCACGACATGGCGGCGGCAACAACAACAATACTACAGCAAGAATAAAAGTTACGCCGCCTTTCTTTGCGTGAACATTTGGGCGGCGTTATGCAAATCTTCCCACATAGTGACGTAGATATGTGGGGGCCTGTTAGAACGAGCCGTTTTAGGGAGGCGTAGCTGACTCTTAACTTTTATAAAGAATATTTCTTTGGATTTGAGACTTTAGTCTTTGCAACTTTACAGATCTTACAGAGAAAGGAAAAATTGAAATCGCATCATATGACCCCTTTAAGTCCTGTCGGGTTTCTGTGCTCACACCGAAAGTACGCTCATAGAATAACGCACCTCTCAGTCAGCGTGGGAATGCCGAGTTCTTTCACTTAAGTTCTCTTAAGTTCTGTTATTGCTACACACTTACACGTAAAGTTATGTCAAAATGCCCGTCTTGGAGACTATTCATGTAAATGCAGTCGGTTTTGTCTTATGTGAACTTGAACAGTTGGGAGGAATACGGATGTGTCAAAATATTTGATCTATGCATCAGATCTTAAAGCAACAGTGTAAACCTGCAGCCGCCGACTGCGTCATAAATGTTAATCAAATAATAGAAAAGGAGAAAATCACTCACTGCTCTTGACTGAATCACTTATTAACTTTAATAAGAATCGTCTATATTTAATGAATACAGTGAAGATTATTTTTACATTTATTGTATCATGAAATGTCTAGTAGGCTATTTCTGTAGAAGCCTTTACTAGACTATCTGAAGAAAAAAGAAAGAAAAAAACTATTTAATTTGTATTTTTGAGTAATATATTTATTTAGCTTGTAAGTAATACTTGGAGTGTTTACTTGCCTTCAGTAAGCTTGAGAATGTTTTATTACAATAGTTTATTATTTTTTGCTTTTGTATAGATTTTTTTATACACAGTGGCAGTTTCTAGCTTCAAAGAAAAAAAAAATTCTAACATCTTTGTGGCAATAGTCTTTATGGGTCCAAAATCACCTTGGGTGTGCATTATTTTCTAATAATTCAACGGCCCTTCATCAGTTAGCCTATTCCTAACATAGTGTAATTTATTGTAATTATGTAACGATAAATGCATTCAAAAATAAAACAGGTTTTGACTTATGGAAAGTATATGTAGGGCTTTTATACACAGTGTGTGCCATTGTACAGACCAGGTTTATCCCTCACAGCTTAATTTTCATCTGAGAAAAAATTCTAAATGCCCTGTCTAAGGGAGATGGTCCTCACTGCAAAACACAAGATCCAGGGGGCGAGGTTGGATCTAGATCCAACTCCTCCCACCTTACATATACACCGCAATATTTTTTATTGAGATAAAAGGTGCATTTTCTACTCTTAAGGTCCCATTCACCAAGATACCTACTCCCTTTAACCCCACCCTGGAATTTATACATTTATTTTAACGAAGAATAAAGTCAAGTCCCGCCCTTTAATTTTTCACATTCTAAAACCTGTTTCACTCTGAAATACGTCACAATACATAAATCAATTCAGTCATAACTTCTTTTACATGACTTTAAGTTTGCTAAGCAAAGCAGGGCACAAATTATTAATAAAAAATCTAAATGGAAAGATACAATAGAGGTTTGCTTTTGTTACATTTAAATGGACATTGCGTTTTTCTAGTTGTAAAGGTTAAAACAATGTTAAGATACTAATAAATAATAGTGTTTCGTTGGACTCGGACTTGAGACCAACTCGGCCCGTTTTGGACTCGGACTTGTCTTGGACTCAATTGGTTAAAGACTCAGACTCAACTCTGACTCTACTTGGGTGTACTCGAACCCAACACTATTAGTCTGTCTCAGTTTGTTCTGTTTCTTCATGTCATTCCAGACAGACTGGATGATGAAGAGATCATCTCTGTGTTGAACACTGGCTGTTGTGCAAAAAAAATTTCACTGGATTATTACAATTAATGGCAAAATGAATGTTTGGAAATGTAAACTGATATTTCCTACTGACACACTACAGCAAAAGATAGAAATAACTGACTTAAACCCATTTTTAGCTGGTGAAAATGGTAGTATTTGGTAGAAATTTGGTAGTATTCTAATAATTTTGGCCACCACTGTATAAAGTAATGTTTTTGTTAATATGTTAAAATAATATGTAAACATGTTAATATTTTTTTCTTAATGTTTAAATAATAAATATCAATATAATTTTTTATTATATTTTTACATAAGGTTGTGTATTCAGCAGCACATTAGATTTTGCTGTGGCAAAGTCTTTGAGTATCGAGTATTGTATTGGTATTGAGTATTGATATTTTGGTATCATGGCAAACTCTCAGTAATATTCTGTTTTATTATATTTCTTCTAAAACCAAAATCGGCATGCCAGACTTTAAACAACATTCCATGGAAAAGAGGGAGCTTTTTTATTCCTACAGTGAATGGCACTACTTATTTATTTACACTGGTATTTTACTCATAGGTCTTTCCCTCTGCATTTTAAATGAACTATGTTATGAATTTTCATTCCCCCTGTCTCTCCCCATGTTTTCCATCATCAGTATCATGCTGTTGGCTAAACCTGCACTGTGTAATCCTCAGCAGTGTATGATGGAATACAGACTTTGTTCTCCACAGCTAGTTGAAGCTTGAATCTCATAACATAACATTAGCAAGAGAGAAATATATTTCACTTTCATAATGGAGCATCAGAGCTCTTTAGTTACACTGTGCAGAAAGTTCCTTGAGTCTTCTGATCTTCTGAAACAGGAGATGAGAAATGGAGAGAGGCGGAAATAGAGGGAACATTTGGTAAAGGAAAGAAAGAGTTACGGGAACATTAGAGAGGAAGGATGGTGCCTTCCGCTATTAGGAGGAGACATGATGAAGCAGGGCGGGGAGTAAGGGAAAGAAACAATACAGCAAACAGACAGAAAGAATATCAATGGTCTTTGTGAAATAATCATCGGAGTGTGCACCGAAGGTGACAGCAACTGTCCCAAAAATACAACTGTTCACAATCTAAAATGATTATAGAACTAATGTACAAATTAACCCTTTGATGTATGCACGGTTTTACCATACATCGAATTTGTACTTAATCTAAAACTAATTTAAATGTTTTAAAATACTTCCATATTTATTATTATGGCTATATTTAGAATTAGCAGCATTTTATGTCATTTATTTTATTAAATTAAGCAATATATTAACTACTATAGTACTAAATTATACAATTAAACATTACAGTCCTGTTTATTATATGTATAGTTTTTATGAATGTCATTACACCATAAATAAAATGAATAATCATTATTGTTATATGATTATGTGGCTGAAAAATAAGACTCCTAAGTTCAAATCCAGGTGATTTTACAATTCAGCAAACAAAGCAGGTAGTTTGATTGTATTCATTTTGTGATTTTACTGATTTGATTAACTTGATCTATACTTAGCATTCATCCATTCATTCATCCCTCACCATGTAGGAGACACAGTACTGTAGAAGCAAAAGTGGGATGGGGCAGCCAGCATAGGGAAGGGAAATATCTCTGCTCAGAAAAGGTTAGATTTTTTTAATGAGAGGGAAAAGCAGATCAATTGGCAAAAGCAGCAAAACAGGATGGACCAGTGGAGTGAGGATATTAGAGCTGGGAGGAATGCCTTGTGCTGTTGCCTGTTGTCATGATCCACTACGGCAGTTGGCCTAATGATATTGGGACTTTTCTCCCATAAAATGTTTGTATACTTACATTCCACTCAGAGACATCCTGCTGATCGGGACTGGCAAATCATATTAGAGCTATAGCTGTAGTTTTAGCTTTTGAATGGACAACACGTTTTATGTGTTATGTAATATCATGAATTAAATATAGCCAAAGTGGTGCGGGTTCAGTGATCAAAGTAATTCTCTCAGCCTATGCAGCAGAAGAAAATACTTTGAAAAAGAAGTGTTAAACCACAGGGTTTGATGGAGCTCTGAAAGTTCAGCACTGCTGCAGTAGGTGAGGTGTCAACAGATGATTAGTTCTCATGTAATGTAACATAACTTTACATGCAGCCTTTGACAAGTGCAGTGAAGATTACATGCAGATACTCTATAGCAGTGCTTTTCAACTTGTAGGTCTGTTCTTGGGTCACAGACAGCAGGAAAAAACAGTGCTAAATATGTGTACTTAGTAATGTGTACTTAACTGCTACTTAAATAACTAGTACCATTTCGATATAAAAAAAAAATCTACAGTACATCTTGATGCACAAAAACAAATCTTATTGCTTCTTGTGGAAGCTCAAATGTGCTAGTGGGACAATCGTGATCAAACCTCATTTGTTCTTGATCGTCAAGAAACCACATATGAGCTTCTGTTTACCACATTTGATGTGTTCTATGTTTGATATATGATATATCAGTTTATCTGTGAATAAAAGTGAATAAATTTTTTTTTTGCATATTGGATTGCAATGGAGGGACAGAAATCTTTCAGGTTTTATTAAAAATATTTGTGTTTTGAAAATGAAAGATATGAAGTGAGTGAGCAAATAATGAAAGAATTCTAATTTTGGGGTGAAGGAGAGAAATAATATGTCTCAAAGATTTCAAACAAGTAAATTTACATGGTTCTCCATTCCTTAATAATGAATGTGCTCAAAAGAAAGTGCCAGTGCATATTTTTATTTGGTCAGAACCAAGAAACTCACAGCAAGAAACATGAGCGTGGGATTGACTAATGCAACATCGTTTTGTGTGTGTGTGTGTGTGTGTGTGTGCGCAGGCAAGCGTGGGACCTCGCGGTGGACATCTGCCTCTCCCAGCTTCCCACCATCATCGAGGAGGGCACAGCTTTCAGGGTGAGCATGACTGATACTGCCTCTGTGTGAAGATCAGACAGAGAGAGACTATTTCATGATCAGTTATTCAGGGTCTTCTATAGCTTTTATTATTTTGCCTCAAATTAGCACTGCAGTCCTACTTATGATTTCAGTTCAGTTGTAGAATCCCTAATCATACTCAAAGTGATTTGTATATTTGCCCTCAGTAGTTATTTAATTTGATCTGGTCTCGTGTTCTAAATGTTGTTTAGTTTTCTGTTAATATCACAACTATTTGGTGTCTGGTTTGTTTTTCTGAATTTTTAAGAAATATGATAAATAAAAATACAACATTGTTAACACAACCAAAGCAAAAGATACTGAATATTGGTGGGCTTTCAAACCTGTGTTTCCCTCATGAACACCGTGTCTAAAAGTGTCACAGACACATGTGCTAATTGCTGAACTTTTGACTGTTTTATTTACTTTTTTTCCATCTCTTTTTTTGTGCTCAATTTTACTGGATATGAGGTGCATTTCCTGTTGTTTCTGATATGCTCTTCTGATATAACAGCTGAATTTCTCTCCTGGGATCAGTAAAATGTTATCTAATGGACTGACTCTTGTGACTTTCAGACATTTGTGAATCAGTGTCTGTCTTGTGTAATGGTTGCAGTGACCTTGATTTCTCAACCTGATATGATTTGTCTTTAGTGTAACAGATGCTGTTTCTGCTAACACACAATAACGCTCATATTGCTGTTCTCAGGCTATTAAAAGAGTGTTTGAAAGTCTGAAATTCAGTTATGTAATCGTGCTGGGACTGAACAAATAATATGTCTCACATTCACCCCTGTCTTTATTGTTACTTTTGGGATTCAGTGATTCTTATATGCTTATAATTGTGTGTGTATCTGTGTGCGAGAAAAAAGAAAGATGGGAGATGAGAATTAGAGAGCTGCTAATGTCTTGATATTTCTTACTTAAAAGGCTTTCACACTGAGCAGATTTGTTGTGATACAAATCAGAGTGTGATTGTTCCTAGTGCCCCCTTGGTCTGATTTCACACTTATTTGCTTTCTTATGTTATCACAAACGTGCACTGTGCATGACAGAACACACAACATGGGTCAATTTTTTACATTTAATTTGGTGTGATTATACGCAGCTTGATGCAAGGACACTTCCATCTAACTGTATTTGCATCGCATGAACGTGGCTTTCTGACATCTAATTGCGAGCCATTCATTTGCTGCTCTGATTGCACTCACCATGCAGGATAACACTGCATGCTCATGCTTGCACGTATTCTGTGTAAATCATCACCGCTGTCTTTCTTGCATGTGTTTTGCTGTAGTAATGATGTTCTTCATGTGAATCGCATCACAGTTCCGGCACAACCAAACTCAGACCACCTCTTACAGGTAGACTTTGGTTGGATACCCAGCTGTAATCCTGGGTCCGCATGACAGCTTTCACATTACCAATTTTTCATGTGTAACATACCCCTATTTCGAACTAAACTGCCAGTGTGAAAGCACCCTGAAAGTGTGTGGTACAGTGGGTAGAGTGACACAGCTTGTTGAGAACTGGGCCAAATTACACGCACTCTTCAAAGCCACTGTGAATTAAATGGTTAGTGGCAGACACCCCTTTGATTAATCACACATACTATGCTATGATACAGTATGCTAATATTCCAGAAACTGTACATTGAATAAGTTAAAGAAATATTACCCCAAAATAAAAATTATCCCAAAAAAATGACTTATCCTCAGGCCATCTACAATGTAGATTAGTTTGTTTCGTCATCTGAATAAATGTGGAGAAATTTAGCATTACATTACTTTCTCAACAATGGATCCTCTGCAGTGAATGGGTGCCGTCAGAATAAGAGTTCAAACAGCTGATAAAAGCATCTCAGTAATCCCCACTACTCAAGTCGATCAATTAACATCTTGTGAAGTGAAAAGCTACATGTTTGTGTAAAAAAAAAAACCGTCAAGGTGTTTGAATTTTAAACCGTCACTTTTGTGAAAAGTCATTCCTCTGTTGTCCTCTCAGAACAAAATCCACCAACATATTTGTTAACTTTTTTGGACCATTTTAATTGTCCTTACTTGTTCTGTGCATATTTCTCTTCTGATTCAGATGAGATGGCTTTTGAACTGGAGAAAACAATATTATAGGACTTGTTCCTGAAATGGAAGCGGTATGAAGTTAAAAACGTCTTGATGATGAACTTGTTTATTACAAACACACAGCCCTCCACTTCACAAGGTGTTAATTGATCGACTGGAGTTGTGTGGATTACTTGTGGATTATTGTGATGCTTTTATCAGCTGTTTGAACTTCCATTCTGACAGCACACATTGACCACAGAGGATCCACTGGTGAGGAAGTGATGAAGGCTAATGCTAAATTAATCCAAATCTTTTACAATGAAGAAACAAACTCATGTTCCTCTTGGCCTGAGGGTCTTTTTTTAATACTAAATATGCATTTATTGTGGTTCATTTATGTTTTAAATAGTAATTTTATCCGATTACCAATTCTCGTTCATGACCTTAATACACCAGAGTTTGAAGAATTGCAAAATATAGGTCCTGAGAAATGTAGCACTGTTAAATGATCGCTTATGTACACAGTTTTTGTCTGATTTAAAGCGCTCTTCCACTTAAATCCTGTTTTTTACTTTTCTGTCTCTCACAATTTGTTTTATATCCACAGCATAGTCCATTCTTTGCTGAGCAGCTGACAGCCTTTCAGGTGTGGCTGACAATGGGCGTGGAGAACAGAAACCCTCCGGAGCAGCTGCCCATCGTCCTGCAGGTACCTAGAAAGCATTTTAGTGATCGTAGGCACACTGCTGACATGAAGTGGTTTCCAAAAGATTGGAAGCAACATCATTCTGCTAAATTCTAAGACGGCATTATATTTTTACTTTACAGAGGAGACAACCCCATAGTGCAACAAGTCAAAACATTTGTTCAAAAAAAGCAGATGAGTTGAGATAAATATTGATTATGACTACATTTAATCCAATATTCAATGATGAAAATATGGCACAATATTAAAATTTGCAAAAATATCTTTGATGAACTTTTTTATCAGAGTTTTTGTTGTAATAAATGGCAGGCTAAATGCAACATACAAATATAGCATAAAATACAGTATTAATTATTTTTCAGAATAGTTGCAATTTTAAAGTTGATTTGACTGTAAGAGAGAAATTTTTCTTGTTTCTTGAAATTTGTTGTTGTGCTTGGAGTAAAACTGTAAGGTAAGTAACAGTTTAGTACGTCTCCATGTGGCTGTTCTACTGCAAAGGATAATCTAAATTCATCCACAAATCTGAATGTGAACATTGATGAGAAATTGAGCCTATCACTACATTAAAGGAAATTGTCTTTAATTCTAAGAAATCATTGGTTTAACACTTAAAATGCTTAGTTTAGTACAGCAATGCTTTGCGTTGCTTGTGTTTGTGTACAATGTGTTTTATATTACAGTGTCTCCTGTTTGGGCTTATTCAGCAGGATGTGAGGTTCACTCCTCTGAGAGCAATAAAGGCAAATAAAACTCTGAGGCAAAGAGAAAGAGAGATATTGACTGCAGAGACAGCGCTACTAAGGGATGTGTGAATGGGTACAAAATACACAAAAAGTGTGTACAAATGACTGACTGCAGGGTTTTGTGGTCCAGCTCCCTGGTGCTGCAGTCACACTGTCGCACTACCCTAAATTCCATTGACACCCCTAAGCAGAACTACATGCCCCATGATTCTTCTCTCTTGGGCTGGTGTCAACCTCATGAGACTCAGGGTTATAGTATAAAGGCCCGTTCACACCAAGAACAGTAACTGACGATTTACTATATTAGTGCCTACATCAGCAAACAATAACATTCTGTTTATTATAATCACATGACACAGTTATGTCTTCTGCTGTTTTTAATGCTTGAGCTCCTTTACGGATTCTTATTTAATGTTTTAATTGCTCATCAGCTGGAAAAAAAGGCTTCTAAAAGTAATTCCATCAGTACTGTTCTTCTGTGCTATTTCTTGCTGTGGTGTGGACTATTCTCATATAATTAGAATGATTATTAAAACTTTATAGTTATCATCCTTGGTTTAAACAGGTGCCTTAACACACAGACACTCACACGTTCTCTCACAAACCATCTGGGTTAATATATATATATATGGCTCTCCCACGCACATAAAATACTTTTAGTGTTTCTAAACAATGTTTTTGTTATTGTTATTTTTGTTGTTGTTTTATTAAAACACTCTTACTTATTGTTCTTAAGAACACATCCACACAATTTATTTGATATTATTTCATATTTATCTTTAACTCAGTGTACATACACACAGCATTGCTTAGACTTGTGAATGTTTGATGTCTTTTACAGTGTACTGTTCACAATTTTTTGAGTAATAAGCTTTCAAAATATATAATTTAAATGTAACTTAAGTGTTAAAATACTCTTAATTCTTGCTGTAGCCTATGTGTTCCTTTAGCTCAGACAGTAGAGCACGGCACTATAAACAACAATATTGTGAGTTCAATTTCCAGGAAATGCACAGAATTGACAAAATGTAAACTGTTATGTAATGCTTTGAGATCAGAATTATTGCTTCCTGCTGCTTGTGTTGAGTCAGATTGAGTTTTTGTAATATTTTTGTATAATACGTCTTTTTAAGAGGTTTAGACTAGTCGCAGATGGGCTCAGGTTTTCACCCTTATCTTAAACTCAGCAGCCAGTCACACTTTTACACACGTGTGTATGTGTGTAAAACCTTGTAAGTGCTGAGTAATCTTCCATTTGGCCAGAGTCAGAAAAAGCAAACCTCCCTCATATTCCTCCCACTTCTTTCACTTCTCTCTATTCTTTCATCACTCTCCCTCCTTCCTTCCTTCCTTCCTTCCGTCCTTCCTTCCTTCCTTCCTTCTGTCCATAGATATTTCTCAGGGTATTAAGGAACGCCCTGTTATAGCCAAGGTGCATGCTGAGAATTTTCACAGTCCGTGATTTGACGTGACCCTGCGATCTATTAATACCTTTATGGTAGGGTGGCATATTGTTTTGGCAGGAGATTGCAGGCGTTTTAAAATTTGTGCATGTTTTTGTGTGGGCATTGAGGTGGGCAGTCCTTCTGTTGCGCTCCTTACACACAGCACGGCTCTGTCTCTGGGCAGGCCTATATCCGGACCCCCTCACCATGCTGAGAGTTTGTACCACAGTATATAGAGTCTTTAAATACATATACACGTATACAGAGTTTTAAAATGCTGGCATAGAAAACGAAAACGTAAACTGTTTACACGTAACTCATTTTATGCTTCTTATGATCTCAGATCTTTTGATCTAAAAAGGCTTATGCTTCAATGCTTAAAACAATAATAATAATATAATTTAATAATAATAAATTGTGCCATCCTATGATTTATTTTTTTTTTTTTACACAAAACAAAATCAAGTGCCCAGCATACATGTCAAGTCATTAAGTACTATTTTAATTGCATCTAGACATAGACATTATTGTTTCCCAATGTATTTATTTTTTATGCACATATCCCTCAACGCTTAAATATCCCCTCATCAACATAAATCCAGAAACTGGTGTTCATTTTAAATCATATTACACTTAATATTATTTTGCATGATCATTAATATTATTAAAGCAGTTTTAAAACATAAAACAAAGGTGATTCTGAGAAATATAGATTGTGAACTGTAAGACAGAGGATTGTATTGTTGTAAAGAAGATGGTTTTAATAATTTTTTCTCTATCTAAAATGTAGAAAATTGTAAGAATTACGTAGGTTTGTCAAGATGTTTGACTGGTATTGATTTGTTTGTTTGTTTTCATTGAAAACAGAAGCCCTGGAGCACGACTTCATATCCTGTTAATCTCATTCGTAATTTTGCATACCTAAAATTTATTAAATTAAATTAAATTAAATTTATTAATAACACAGACCTGAATATAGAAATCCCAGCCCAGTTTCAGTTAAATTTAAGTTTGTCTAAATTAAAAGAAACAAAGTCATATAACTCAAAACAATCAAACAATTCAGATTACCAAAAAACAAATGTTTCAGTTTTTTGAACTGAAAAGAAAAAGAAAGTTCTAAATACTCATATTCATATTCAAGTTCATTTTATATTAACTAAGTTAAGCTTGCTCTACTCAAACCAAATAACTATTTTGAGCTTTAGGGTTTACAGTGCATACATAAATGTTAATGAATCACACACAAACCAGTCTAGCCACAGATGTACACACACACAGGTGGGAAGTCATTAGCTTGTGCCAGCCTGCAGGGAGTGTATGTGAGCCTGAGCACCTGTTCAAAATGATTATATTAGTTGTTCCCATTGTGTGTCTGTTTTTGTGTTTGCGTGGGTGTGGGGCATTTGGTGATTCCTGTAGGTGTGAGGTGTTTTAAATACCTAATATTCCTTAAAGGGCCATAACAACCTATGCTGTAAACATAATCTTCAGTAGGTCATTGCAGTGTTTCATCTGTTTGAGCCTTTTGTAGAGTCACACACTGACACACATATCCATGTCATCCACTCCTCACTGACTCCACTGGCTATGGAAGAGAGTGGAACATCGGGTTAATGTTCTTCCATCTGGTTTCTCTCAGGTCCTCTTAAGCCAGGTACACCGACTGAGGGCACTGGATTTGTTGGGGCGATTTCTGGACCTGGGCCCTTGGGCTGTCAGTTTGGTGAGATACACAACTAAGATTTGTTTTTTACTTTCATTATTTCATTATTGTTTGTAGCCTTTTCACAAGAGTACATATGTTAGTTAGGTAAACTATGCACAATATGGTTAAATGGCAGACAATGTTCAGCTACCTTGCGTCATCCTAGTCTTTTTTTTCTCTCACTCTGACTCTTCCTCTCACTCTCCTCTCTGCAGGCTCTTTCAGTGGGGATTTTTCCGTATGTGTTGAAACTGTTGCAGAGTTCAGCAAGAGAGCTCAGGCCTCTTTTGGTCTTCATATGGGCAAAGATCTTGGCTGTAGATAGTGTACGTAAACCATTTTATCTCTTGATGACTCACATGAGTCCCAGTTAAACTCCTGACAGCAGTTTTAATTAAATGTTCACCAAAAGAAAGAATATATAAACAGATGAAAGTGCTTTTTATGGTCTCAGAAGTGTGTATTATATTTGTACGTTCTTTGTTTATTTTTCTCCTGTTATTTATTTTGCTATATCTAAGAGATTTTCTGAAAGATTTGAACTGTAAACATCAGAAACATTCTGATTAGCGTAGGCCCTTAAAGTCAGTGTGAATTCAAATGCTATTAGAATTCTACTTCCATAATGCGTCATACTTCTAAGTGAAACAGGAAATTCACAGGGGGAAAAAAAAAACATCAAGGATAGGACAAATTTTTTCCATCAGTAACTGACTGGATGGTGAAAAGTAGGCATCACATAATGCAAGACATGAACCAAGTATAAGTTTGCTTAATGCGCTAAAAAAAAAAGGTAGCTGTTTGGCTGTCGGTTTACTTTTATCCAATAGCTATATCACCATGGATGTGTATGGATGTCAACAGAAAATGTAATTTCAGAGAAAGTTTTTTTTTTTTTATTTTTATTTTTTTAAAGATTACAAAGTAAAACAACTGCAACCTTTCTATAGAATTAAAAAGAACTGATGCATTGTTCATTAGACCAAGATCTTGCATTAAGAATTTTTTTTGTTTGTTTGTTGTTTTGTTTGTTTTTACTGATTTGTAAAGGCTATATTGATTTTTATTTCTAAATAATAAAAAAATAAAAATAAATCAACATGAAATCAAAATTGTTCCTATTCTCTTTTTAATGCACATTCCTGGTCTTGTGAACGATTCATCTGTGCATGTTAATTCAAAAGATTTGTCATTTTAATGAAATTAATATGACATTCTTTGAACATTCAGAGTGTATTTTTGTACATTGGAGTATGGAAGGGCAGTGGAAATGAAAGTGGTTTGCCATCTGTCTCTGACTGTAGTGGTTAAGACACCTGCAGAGATAGATGATCATTCACGCACATCCCTCACAGAGACTGCAGCACTCAAATCAAAACACACTCTAATGCTGCTGATCTGGCTACTGAAAACACGTTTTTCTTTAAAGAAATATAGGAAAATTCTTATGATTGGCTTATCAAATCCAACAGCAACTCTAGCGAATTTATATTAAATTAAAGGCCAAACTCAGCCTGTAAACAAGACCCTGTGACTATACCTAATCCGAACTGTCAAATTTTAGGACTAAACTGAAACAATTCATTCTATTTTATTTTGAGCAAAGAGATCCAGATGCACAGCTCTTCACAACTCTGATGCAGAGATCATTGCTCTCAGATCTCATTGACACCTGCGTCAATTCAAAACTCCTTTCAGTCACGAGACGTGCAAGCACCATTTAAAAAGTATTGACGTCAAACCTGACGTGTTTACTTGCAAAGACAGTTGGACTTAGCACAATAGAATGGAATAGGGAATAGGGGGTCTTAGTCATGCCATCTTAAAGGGATAGTTCACACAAAAATGAAAACTCTCATCATTTACTCACCCCCATATCATTCCAAACCTGTATGACTAATTCTACTCATGCAAAACACAAAAGAAGATATTTTGAAGAGTATTTGGAACCCACTGACATTCATTGTGTAAGCAAAAAAAATAAATAAACGGTTACTTGACCTAAAAATGTAACTTTTGCCATCATTTACTCACACTCATGTTGTTCTAAAGAGTTGCTGGTAGCCTTCCATCATATTTTTTTTTTCTCCACACAATGGAAGTCAGTTGATACCAGCAACTGTTTCGTTACCAGCATTCTTCCGATTATTTTCTTTTGTGTTTAACAAAAGAAAGGGTCCCACTTTATATTAAGTGGCCCTAATACCTCTGTACTTGCATAGTAACTAGATGTGTACGTAGTATGTAACCACAGTGTAAGTACACATTGGTATATATTATCTAGAGCTGAATATTTCTGTAACTACACACATGTAACAACCCTCTGAATGGTTTGTGTAAGTACAAATGTGTAACAGGACATATATAACTACATTTTGTAACAACAATATGTATAAGAGTAATTGGAACAATTTGATCCAGGGGGTGGAGATGGGTAGGTTTAGGGGTGGAAATGGGATCCAGGGGGTGGAAATGGATAGGTTTAGGGATAGGTAAATAGTCCAGGTGATATGTGAAAAAAATTTGCACTTTTTCATAAAAGCATAAAACTTGGTACAGTTTACAGCCCTGAACATTTTCAGAAATGGAGCCATCGCAAAAACGCCTTGTGGTCGCCTTGGCGGCCATTTTCCTTTCCGCCATTACCAAATTATGTATTTTATATCTCCTGAACCAAACATGATAACACAGAAAGTGTGATGTCTACCCCGATATGTTTATGGTCAAGGATTACAATGATATCACATACAACAACATAAACTGTTGTGGTGAATAGTTAATGGTGAATTCAGTAACGTTGTGATAAGAATTACAATGAAATCGCAGTATCTGAGATACAGATGGAGATTTCAAGCATATTTCCTGTAAACTTAATTTACAATCACTCTCTGGGGCCAGAGTTGCCTATTATGTTAGTGTCCACAAAGGGGAAGCATTTATTTCAGTTGATACTTCCAAAGTCCCTTTAAGACAAGTCATGTCACTCAGTGGCCATCTTTGAAATGCCTCTCGGGCATGCAATTGCCGTTTTTATCTCTTTGAATGGAGAAACATCAAATTCTCCAAAACTGTTCGCCAAGCTTATGATTAAATTTCATATTTGAAATCGCCAATGAAATTTGACAACAATATAAATGTTGTTTCTTAATTTATAAACTCATAAATGTTGTTTCTTATGCACCAATAGCGTTAAAAAAAGTTTCTTTTTCAGGCTAGAGCAGCCAATGTGCATGCGCAGTCCTAAGCACGCGTCTCCAGAACACTGACAGTTTCTATAGCAACCAGGACTTCTAACGGCAGCTGCAGTGACGCAATGACTTTACCGAATAGCGATTGGCTCTTTTACTCAGAAGGCAGTGCTTCGTTCAATGGAGCAGCCATATTGAGCGTTGTATTTTTCCCCCATTCAAAACTATACGAGTGACACGTCTTGGGCATTCTATAGTCTTTGATACTTCTCAGTGCAGCCTTCCTTCTTGATGAACTGTCACTCTACTGTCACCTTGGTAAAAGTCAACACTCTGCCTGACTCTACATTTATTAATTTAGCAGACACTTTTATCCAAAGTGACTTACAATTGAGGAACACAACATGCAATTCATCATAAAGAGGCAAATAAACACAGGAAGTGCTCATAATACAAATTTTTAGACATCGCTCAGATTAGTACAAGCTACAAGAGGGAGGGATTAAGGAAATTGAAAGTGAAGGTTATTTTTATTAAATTAGGATGCAGTCAAATGTTTACAAAAGAGAGATTTTTCAGCTGTCGCTTGAAATTGTCAGGGATTCAGCATTCCAGATGGGTGTGGAAAGACCATTCTACCAGCATGGAACGGTAAACGAAAATGTTCTGGAAAGTGATTTTGTGCCTCTCATTGATGGTACCACGAGGCATCGCTGACTTGTAGATCTCAGGCTTCTGGAGTGGATGTAGATTTGTAAAAGTGAATGGAAGTAGGAGGGTGCTGAGCCTGTGGCTGTTCTTTCTTTATGCAATCATCAATATCTTGAACTTGATGCGAGCCGTAACCGGCAGCCAGTGCAGGGAGATAAAGAGAGGTGTGATATGGGCCTTTTTGGGCTCGTTGAAGATCAGACGTGCTGCTGTACTCTGAATCATTTGTAGAAGTTTGATTGTACATGATCGAAGTCCAGCCAAAAGAGCATTGCAGTAGTCCAGACTAGAAATGACAAGGGCCTGAACAAGAAGGTGTGGAGCATGCTCTGTTAGGAAGAGCTTGATCTTTCTGGTGTTGTGCAAAGCAAATCTGTGTGCAGTGTGGTCCTTGAAGGTCAGCTGATCATCAAAGATTACACCAAATTTTTTGACTGAACTTGATTGGATAATTGTTGATTAACCTAGCTGGATGGTGAAATCATGTTATAGAGTTGGAGTGGCAGTGAAGAACTGATCCCTGAGGAACCCCAATGACCAGTTGATTTGCTTTGGATACCGCCCCTCCCCAGGCCACTGTAAGGTCCACGCACTTAGCCCAAGGAAGGTATCCAGTGGTGGCTGAAGGTTTCTTGCGTGTTCGGTCTTTTAAGCGCGCAAATTTATTCAATTTAAGTTAAATTATAATCTGACTCCATTTTAATATCTAATCTGACTCCATTTTATTATGACCTCGAATTTAGGTTGGAAGGCAAATTAGTTGTTTGTCTGCCTCTAATTAGTATTCTTCTGACATTTGATTATTCTAGTTAACGCTTTACTTTATATTTACTCGTTCATTAAGAATCTATGTCACTCAAGGTGTATCACGCCGGCCGATGTACATGTACCCCACGATCACAAACTCTCCAGTCTGATCATTAGTCAGAGGTTATGGCTAACTATTTAATAGACCGCCTCATGCTTGTCATTCTTTAAATAATGGTTCTGTTTAGCTCCCTACAGTCACCTATGTAACAACTTAGTTAAAGCTCAAACAAAATCAGAGGTTATGGCTAGCACTATGAGATATGCTAATACATCTATAGTGTTTTATCTAGCCCCCTATAGTTAGTCTAACTATATAACAACTTGAATAAAGCTTAGACGATAATCAGAGGTTATGGCTAGCACTATGAGATATGCTAATACATCTATAGTGTTTTATCTAGCCCCCTATAGTTAGTCTAACTATATAACAACTTGAATAAAGCTTAGACGATAATCAGAGGTTATGGCTAGCACTATGAGATATGCTAATACATCTATAGTGTTTTATCTAGCCCCCTATAGTTAGTCTAACTATATAACAACTTGAATAAAGCTTAGACGATAATCAGAGGTTATGGCTAGCACTATGAAATATGCTTAGATTTCAGTAGTGTTTT